TTCCTTCCTTCCTTCCTTCCTTCCTTCCTTCCTTCCTTCCTTCCTTCTTTCCTTCCTTTCTTTCTTCCTTCCTTCCTTCCTTCCTCTTTCTTCCCCTCTCCTTTCCTCTCTCTCCTCCTTCCTCTCCCTCTATCCACATGGAGTATAAGGTTCTCTGTGCAAAGGAATGTAAATTTTGATCACTGAAACGTCACAAGATACCTTGGAGTTTTCAGGCTAGATTTCTGTCTTAAGGACCATGCTTTAAGCCCAAATGACCCTGGCCAACAATAGGTCCCAGCCCAAGCCCTTCTTGGTCTTTGTTTGGGCCCCAATGGCTCAGACTGAAGGTAAATAGCAATTGTTTCTGTTATAGACAGAAACCCTGACAGACTTCCTTCCCAGACTGATTTTTTTGACTAGGTAAAAGAGGCCATTCTTTGCCTCATTTCTTACCTACATACCCCACTTCCCACCAACTACACAGTTTTTGGACTTTTCTTTCCTTCAAGCCCCCTTGCTGGGCACCTTCTTCTCTGACCTGCTTTTCACCTTCCTTTGGTTTGTCATCTTCCTCCTTAGATTGTTAACTCTCTTGAGTTGAAGCACTGTCTCTCTATTTATTGGCATTTCTATCTCCAGTACTTAACACAGTTTCTGGCACACTATAGGCATTTATTAAATGTTTGTTCATTTGAATTCATATGAATCTCCAACAAAAGCAAACAAATGAAATACAAACAAAACAAACAAACAAAAAACCTAGTCTGGCACTGTCCAATATGAAATACATAAAAACCCAAGGGTGTCATAAAAACAGGGATAAACTACTCAAGAGGGCACATGGGTATTTGACCTTAGTGATTTACTCAAACTTTTTTGTACTTTTTAGCCAGAAGAGAAGTAAGCAGTTTACAAAACCTGAAATCTTTGCCTAGCTATCTGGAATCATGACAATTTTCCAAGCCATTTTTCTTAGTGATAGTTTATCTCTGAATTGAAGAATAGAAGTCCTGGATGCTGATTTGATCATGCATACTTCCTGGCCTCTCTCCACTGTGTAGCTGTAATATTTCAAAGGGATGAGCACACTCTCTTTGAAAAATTGAGTGCTGCTTAAAATGGCCTTTGAAAGGTAGAAAGCATTACATTCTAGTCCTAAACATCACAGTAGCTTTTAAATGTCTTCACTGTGTGTGAATAACTGTTTGAGTAGTAAGAACAGTGTAAAAACACAGGGGCAATATGTATACTGATAAGCTTTTCCACACCATATAATGTAAATTCATCAGGCAGAATTTAATAGTGCAGATATGTAGTTTATGATTTGAGATTTGAGTTTTTTTTATTAACTCAACAAAATCACTGTTTGAGTGACTTGTAAGAATCTTATCAGTTATCCTGACTATGAGGAGATCAATTTAAATAATCAGTAGTAATTCAGTGGTTGGTAACTTTATTTCTTACATAGAATACATAGCCCTTTTCAGGCAGAACATAATTTTAGGTATAATCAATCAATAAGGATTTATTAAGTGCTTACTATCTGCCAAACACTGGGCTAACAAAGAAAGGCAAAAAATAAAAGTCCCTGCCCTCAAGGAATAAATATTCTAAAGAAGGAGATAATATGAAACTAATTAGATCCAGCACAAGATATATGCACAATAAATGGAAAATTGTTGTTCCTCCTTCTGTCCTTCTCTCTTAGAAGACCGAAAATATCATCAGGGTCATGTCTTGACTTGCACATGAATTGGATATGAGTGAAACAGAACCACCCAAAGTCATCAACCTCAATCTCTCTTCCAGAGTCATCAAAATTCAGTGACAAGAGAAAGATTAAGAAGACTGGCTACGGCCCAGGATGCAGTGGGTGACCTTGGCCTTCCTAAATTAAGATTTTTTTCCTAGGTCTCAGTGTGTCTATGGCCATACCCATTCAATGACTAGGGGCTGGGTAAGACTTGAGACATAAGATGGCTCAATTTACCATCACAAAGATAGCATTCTGGGAGGGCAAGACACTCAGAATTCATAGCAGCAACAGAAAATAATTGCTATTTACACTCCTTCTAAGCCATCAAAACCTAAAAAAATAATGAGCCCCAGAGGCTTGGGTTGGGGCTATTATTGACCATTCAGTGAAAGCCAGGGTGATTTGGGTTTAATGTAATTAATTGGAAAGTAATCTCAGAAGAGAAGGCATTGGGGGGTGGGGGAGAAAAATGGGACCTGAAAGACCTCCAGGAGAAGGTATATATCATTGCCTGTCAACTTTTGCTATAGTTCTTAATCAATTTGCTATGTAACACTTTCCCATATGTTTTTTTTGTTTCTTTGTTTTTGTTTTTGGTGAGGCAATTGGGGTTAAAGGACTTGCCCAGGGTCACACAGCTAGTAAGTGTCAAGGTCTGAGACCAGATTTGAACTCTGGTCCTCCTGACTCCAGGGCTGGTGGTGCTCTATCCATTCCACTGCCTAGCTGGCCCTTATATGCTTTTTATATAAGCATTTATAACCCAGTGAAAGAGATTGTGCAGTGTAGTGAATAGAGGGTTGGCCAGGGAAAGATGTATCCCAATCCTGCCTCTGACTTGTATTATGTTACCACTTGACTTCACTTCTAGAGAGAGAGGAGAGACAGAGGGGGTGGGGAGAGAGACACACACAGACACAGAGAGAGGAAGATAACGCAATAGTTTATATACATGTATGTGTATATATACACACATATATGTCCATGTTTATACACATATATGTACACATACAAACATACATATGTGTGTGTACACACATACACACACAAGCAGAAACAATGAGGAAACTGAAATTAAAAGAAAAAAATGGAAAGAACTAGCTTGATCTTCAAAATGCCTGGTACATTGACAACTGAGTACATAATATGTGAAGAGGTTTTATGCCTCTCTTTGCTAAATCTGACAGCTAAAATGAGAATTCTGTTTGATGATTGTAGGCAGAGGGATTTCTTAGAGAAAACAAGTATTCAAGTTAAATTTAAATCACAAGTTGAATTTTCACATTATTCTTTCATTTTGTAAGATTCTGGAGGTTACTGGCATGAAGATAAGCCTATCAGCTGACCCACATTCCATCACTATCTTCAAATGCTTCCATTACTTTGTTAGCATGTAATGGAACTATCTACAGATTACCTCTGCTATGGAAACAAGAAGTGAAACTTCCATATGCCTAACCCAGTGGTTCAAGTTAATTAGACTATAATGCACACATTTCAAATTGCATAATTTTTTTCATAATAATTATATGCTATGGAGACATCTATTAAAAGCCTAGAATGATAATTTAAATGCAGAATTACTGATAGAATTCTATTATATTTTTCATACTAAATTAACATTATAGGCTTCTAATGGGTGCTTTAATTAGGCATTGATGTTATCAGCAACATTTGGCCAAATAAAATCTGCCACTGGGAAACATTCATTAAGCTTAATCTGTGTCAGTCAATAGTAAGTCTTGTCTGAGCCTTGTAACTTTAAGGTGGTAACAAGGAGTTACCACCCTTGCAATAAATTTGGCTTCCCCACAAAATACTAAAATATTTTATTATTAGGTATCTTTTATATTTCATCATTTTCAGACAAACTACTAATTATTAGACATTTCTAATTGCTGAGCAGTATACCTCAGGACTTCTCTGACACAGAAGCATTGTATTAAAAAAAATTGTTTCAGTGTATTTTTTCTGCAATAAAAAAAAGTTAGTGGCACTTTTTTGTGGTAGCAAAGAAGTGGAAATGAGGTAGATGCTCATTGATTGGGGAGCTGCCAACCAATGTACATGAATGTAATGGGATATTTCTATGCTGTGAGAAGTAATGAACGTGATGAATAGAGAGAAGCATGAGAAGACTTACGTGAATTGATTCAAAGGGAAGGAAGTAGAAACAGGAAAACAACATATACAATGATGACAACAATGTAAATGGAAAAAACACTAAAACAATCAAAACTGAATGTTGCAAAATTATGATGACCAAGCTTGACTCCAAAGAAAAGATATGAAAAGATATCCCCTTCCTACTTGCTACTCTTATCCTCTGCAGAGCAGAGTGGAACATTATATGTGACTTTAGGCTCTTTTCCATGTGTTGCTTGATTTTGCTGAATGTTTTCTCTCTTTTTTTGGTTTATATTATAAAGGATGGAACTCTGTAAGGAGGAAGGGAGAGGGAGAGAAATGGGGAAATGTATGTCATATAAAAACAACAAAAAATTAAATCTAAATGTGTATATAACTAGCTTTTGTTTGTATATATGTATGCATTTATTTGTATATAAATTATACGTGTATATAATTGTTTATGTAAGTGATATATATACATACTTGTTTTATAAATGTATGTATACACATATGGATATATATACATATATTTTACTTCTTTTTGTTTTTACATCACTTACAATTTTTCTTATATCCTTCCCTCTCCCTTCCTCCTTATAGACCTCCATTCTTCATAACATGAACTAAAAAAGAAGATTAAAAAAGTCAGCAAAATCAAATAACAAGTTGGAAAAAAAGTTCATACAATGTTCCTATATATGTGCATATATGTATATAATATATACACATAGGTTACATAATACATATAAACACACATACATATAGCCGCAAGAAAGGGTGTGTGTGATCTTCTCATTCCACCCCCTTTCTTTAAGCAACTCTAAAATGGAAATCAATGCTAGAGTGGCCTTGGCACTGGTTTGGGGCAGGGGGAGAAGCAGAAGGGAATCATAGTGTTCTCTGATAGGTTGTGACAGAAAACAACACACAAAGGGAGAAGTAGAAGCAGCCCTGAAGTAAACAATGAAGGGTGGAAGAAAAAAATTGGCCAAGCTTGGGAATGGCCACTGTGCTACTTACCAGTGATTTTTCCATTAGCTTCTAAAGGAGGCTGCCAGCTCACAATGACAGCTCGAGGCTTCCCTTCCCGAGTAATGACTGTCAGATCCTTGGGTGCAGAAGTTGGAGCTGCAGAAGCAGATAGAAAGAAAGCTTAATCACTGAGAACGAAAGAAAACAAACTCTTTCTCTCTCTCTTCTCTTCTTGTGTCTTCCCCTGCCTCCCCCTTCTATCCTTCCCACTCTTGTCTTCTAGAGCTTTCACTCCCCCTTCTTCTCCATGTACTCACTCCCAAGCATAGGATTAACCCCTCTCTCTCTCTCTCTCTCTCTCTCTCTCTATGACACACATATGCATATAAATACACACATTTGAATATTTATGAGCTATACATGGTAGTGAAAGCAAATCCTAAACCCAGATTCACCCACAGTATCCCTTTAAAGTACTTCTGTTTTTGACCTACTTGGAATATATTACACATATTTACTTATATACATGCTTTCTCCTCTATTGGAATGCAAGCTCCCTAAAGTCAGGAATTGTTTCATTTTGTGTTGGTTTTTCCAGCATGTGGGACAGTGCTTGGCATAGAGCTGGCAATTAAGAATAATTGTTGATTGATCTTTAATTCTGATTTTGAACTTGACATTGTATAAAGTTTGATTTTCCAAGCATGTAAAAGGACCTATCAATCTTATAACTTTATCTTTCACCTAGAAACCCACTCTTGTCCCCAAATCTAGTTCCTATATGCTTGATTCTCAAGGTCATCTAGGGTCCCAATGCCACCTAAGACTATTCCTATTCAGTTATGTCCGTATGAGTTATATAATGTGACCTCCTGAGATATTAGAAATAATAAATCAGGTCAACTCTAGATTGCTGAGGAAGGAGACTAGGAGCTGATATGCATGATAATGAAGGCCCCAGGCCAGGGAACATTACCAAAGGAAAGTAACTGTCACCAGAAGATGACACTGAAGACAATGATCTCTGAAAAAAGGATTACCAAAGAGACACAGAGAGAAACACATACAAGGAATTCAAGATAGTTGCCAGGCTAACCTATGGGAGGATGTGATGTAGCCATGAACATCCTGGCCTTTATCTGCTATTAAAAACTATTTAAAAATTTAGTTCATCTTAGGCATTGGATAAAAGGCTATGCCTTCTAAATTAGTCAGGATGAATTATTTTTCCTTCTTTATATTAGAAGTTGATGACTGGGTAAAAAGAAGCTCAAAGGTGATGAGCCAGCTCATTTTGCTAGATGAAGGCATAAAAGAAAATAAAATGATCCATCGACTTCATCTTTTTTGAGTGTAAAAAATGAATCATTCAATTAAAGAAGTGGGTTATTATAATAAACTTTAATGTGCACTTTTTATAAGATGCCAACAAACAAGGCTGATTAAACATTTTTATCTCTTTGTTTTAAAATGATCTTACTTACTTGTTCATTTGTTTGTTTTTGTCTGGCATGTGATTTCACCAATATAAGATGTAAACTAATAACTCTTCTATAACTTTTAGTCTTAGAGAATTTACCTGGGTCACTGAAAGGTTAAGTGACTTACTGGTGATCACATGTCTGGTATATGTCAGAGTCAAAACTTAGGTCATCCTGACTCCTAAGGCAGTCATCCATACAATGTCCTCTACCACCTCTTGTTTTTGGTGACATAAGTGATTACAAATAACAGATATTTAGATGCTATATTGGTGGTGGTGGGGTGGCTCAATGAGTAGAGTCAGGAAGACCTGAATTCAAATCTGGCCTGATGTTTACTAGTTGAGTGACCTTGGACAAGTCACATAACCTCTGTTTCCCTTAATCCACTGGAGAAGGAAACGGCAAACCACTCTAGTATCTTTGCCAAGAAAACCCATGGTCAGATGGAATGCTACAGTCCATGGGGTCACAAAGAGTCAGACATGGCTGAATGACTGCACACAAACAAGATTCTATATTCTGTTTTCACCAAAGATTGGGCCTGAACTATTTCACTTATTCCCAATAATATTTGAAGTAACAATAGTATGCTACTTTAAGCTTCTCTTATGTATCTATCTCCATCTGATGTTTACAAATATAACAATCCTTTGATTTCAAGAGAAGCCAACATATTTCTCATTTTTTCCTTATCATTAGCATCTATCACTGCATCCCTGTGGCATGACATTGCAGTGAGAAATAGTAGGGTTATAGAAGTGAGACAAAGAGGTTAAGTAACTTCCTATAATTAATGGCAGAGCCAAGACCAAAATCTAAGTCACCTGACACACCTGAAGTTCAATAATTTTTTTTCCATTAGACTAGATTGCTGTTGTGAACTTAGTAAAGCTAAAATAATTCTGACCTCTATAGAATATAGTTAAGTTTACAATAAACTATGATACATTGCGAGGGGATGCAAAGATTAATGAGGCTTAGGTCCAAGGCCTCACTTTCTTCACTCATGTAGGACAGAAAAAACATATACAGAGATAATTATAATACTAGGCAGTACATGTTAAGTCACTTATGAATGGTACAAATAGTCACAGCCGCAGGGCTGAAAAAAAGGAGGTTATTAGGTAAAAAGGATGACCAGGATTTTGCTAAGTTATAGATAGGAAAGTGTATGAGGATATTCTAAATTCATGAGTAAAGATACAAAATAAGAAAGGGCAAATATTTATCAGAGACAACAAGGAAACAAGTTATGGCTGAGCAGAGAGTTAATTTAGAAGAGTACATGTCAGACTTTGAAGAGGTAAAACCTGTATGCTGAGGTGAACAGCCTTCAGTTACCCATAACAATGAATTTCCTACTCACTTCCAGATTATAAGAGACCATTAAGATGTTTTTTGCTAATAGGTAGAGTAGGGGTGGCTAAATAAGCTGGTTTCTGAATCTTTGTGATGAAGCATATAGCACAAAGTTTGGGTGAGCAGAGGATGGAGAATTAACATTTGTTTTGAGTGCCTATGTGGAAAAGGAGACAAATGATAAGGACACATGAATGTGTGGAAACAGAGGGAATAGGAGTCAGTATGTGATGGTATCTCAGTGAATGAGTCAGTGACATATGGGAACACATGTATTCCTCAATAATTTAAAGGTATGTTTGGGTTCATTGGATATAGATTTCCAGAGGTTTCAAGGTATCCCCTTAGGAGTATTTCCATTTATGGAAAAATTAAGAGTTAATGCATGTGTCCCTAGTCTGTGTCCAACTAACAAAACAGAGGCACATTCTATATTTGTGCCGAATCTCAGGCTGATTCTAGCCCCCTAGTTGTCTTTTCGTGTAAAAAAAAAAAGTACTTGTGATAAGGATGGGGATGAGCACAGGAGGAGACCAGAGCATGGAGAATGACTGAATTTGAGATTATATGTGAACAGATCTATGTTATTAGTAAGACAAACAACTTGAAAAGTAAAGACAAGACTGTGGGAAATATTGAACAACTAAACCATCAACTTTGGACTTCATTCAGTAAGCAATTGTTGTTCAGTCGTTTTCAGTCATATCTAACTCTTTGTGACCCCTTTTGGGTTTCTTTGGCAAGGATACTGGAGCGGTTTGCCATTTCCTTCTCCAGGTCAATTTACAGATAAGGAAACTGAGGCAAATAGAGTTAAGTGACTTGACCAATGGGAAGTTATAAATGGTTTGTGAGTAGGAAGCTTGATGTAACAGCAGGGTTTAGGATAAATTGAAATGGGAAGAGCCTGGAAACAGATTACTTTACTTAGACTTCCCCAAGTGCCAGACTATACATTATTACCTAAAAATGATGAGATGATTAATTTGGCTTCCCCATCCCACATATGTGTTGTGAATTATTGAATATGAACAAGTCAGTAGCTCAGTCATTTTTTCTGCTTTTCTATTTCCTTTCATTTATATCTCTAGATACTTATGAATTATTCTTAATCATGATCATAACATGGGTACCTCATCCAGATGCTCTTTACTTATCTTTGTAGATCACTGTCTCATTTTATAGTTGTTCTAATCATTAATCACTTTCCGCTAAATTTTATCACTTCTTATCCGCAATCAACTTGCCAATGCTGTTAACTTCAAGGGTAGAGAGTAGATGAGAAATCAAAGGAATGTGTTTATACATTTTAAGGCCTGACATGGCTTTTCAGGCTTATAAATGAGGTGCTTGTGTAGGGGTTGTGTTTGAATCAACCAATGGAATCACTATACTTCATTTAAAGTAAGTGATGAGATGTTAGCCTCAACCCTTTTCTCAAGTGAGAATAATCAACCAATAATTTAGAGGGATGAACTATGTGTGAACAATGCCTAGATATCAGACAATCATAGATTTTAGACTAAGAGTGTCAGATCATTTGTCACTTTAGAAGTCCCTGAAAGCCTTTGGTTGAACTGGAACGGTGTTGTATTGGAAGTGTGATCTCATTGGTTAAGAAACTTGGATGCCTTATCAGTGGTCCACAAAGTAGAAAACTAATTTTGAACCCAGAAATGTGGGTATAGAGAACCTTAATGGTTTTATTATTTATCATTTCAGTTGTGACTGATTCTTCATGACCCCGTTTGTTTTGTTTGTTTGTTTTTTTTGGCAAAGATACTGGAGTGGTTTGCCATTTTCTTCTCTAGCTCATGTTACAGATGAAGAAACTGAGGCAAACAGGGTTAAGTGACTTTGCCCAGGGTCACACAGCTAGTAAGTGTCTGAGGCCAGATTTGAATTCAGGAAGATGAGTCTTACTAACTTCAGTCTTAGCACTCTGTTTATTCTGCCACCTAGCTGCCCTTAATGATGGAAGCCTCCAACCAAGCCCCTACAAAGGAATCATTTCTAGGGGATGGGAAAAGGAAGAAAGTATACCCCCCTCTCCTCACCCAATTTGATCATAGCAAGGCCTTATAAATTTTAGACTTCATGCCATTATCCTAGCAGTGTCCTCCCAGGACAGCAGTGATCAGCAGCAGTGTCTGCATAAATAGCTGAGGATAGAATGGATCCAATGAGGAAAGAAAGATTCAAGGCTCAGTGAGGAGTCCATTAGAAAAGCTAGACCACACCTAAGGTGAAAATTTTGAGGCTTCCAACAAAAGGACTTCTAGAGCTGAGGTATCCCTTTGTGACATATATTCTCTGAACTTTAGGCTATACACACTTGTGGAAGAGTATATCACAAGCTTTTGGGGGATGTCCTGTCCCCATGATTCTACAATCTAATTGAATCTGACTAATTTATATCAATCACTAATGATGGAGGAACCATAATAATGAGGGTTCATGAATTATATTACTGCAAAATTACCATCCCCCAATCCATGAGGGCTGCCTCTGAACTTTGAGTTGATGATAAATAGACACTAAAGCTCTGGGAAACTGGACCCGCCAGTTTAAGGAGTTGTAAGAATAGCTCCAGAGAGAATACTTGACTTGTGGCAGATGACAACACTCTCTCAGGATGAAATTAATAGTAGTCCTACAAGAGTATTATCCTAATGCCCTAGCACTCCCTGCAAAAGGTGTCCTATTTTTGTTCTTTAACTACTTGTTTTAATGGAGATGGTAGAGAAGCAATCTGGTGTACTAGACTTGGAATCAAGAGGCATGAGATCAAATCCCATCTCACTAGCTGTGTGGCTCTGGACCAGTCACTTAATCTCTCTGAAGCTGTTTCTTTATTAGTAAGATGGGGATAATAACACACATCTCACATGGTTGCTGTGAAGCTCAAATAAAATAATGTATAGAATAGAATTCTTCATAAGTTTTAAGGCACCATTTGTATGTTATTATTATTACTGTTCTCAAATTATATAACTTTTCAGAGGCTCAATTTAATCATCTAAAAAAAGCAGGGGAGGAAGTATCTACATCAAAGGTTATTGTGAGCAAAACATCTCGCAAAACTTTAAATATTATATAAATGAGGTAATATTATTATTACTATTTTGCTAGGCAATGGGGTTAAGTGACTTGCCCAGGGTCACACAGCCAGATGTAATATTATTAAACAGCTTAAGCTCTAGTTGATTCTTTCTCAACCAAAATAACAGTGAATGACTTTGTCCTCCCAAAAGCAGGCAAGTCACTCATTAAAAAAATCATACCAACCATAGAGATTGGACAACGTTCAAAGGCTTCCTCAGCTCTTCTAGTTACAGGGATCTCACTTAAGCAGAACATTGACTGAAAAGTTTAGATTCATAGAAACTGGGAAAAAATACTAGAGGGTGGCAAAATAAAACCTCTATAACTTCTTAGGAGGATGGCCTACAAAAGAAGAGTAAGTCCTCTGTGAAGAGTCCCCTAATGAATATGGAAGTGTTTGAAATTAAACAAAAGCATGATAGGAAGACCACAGTTGACCATTCATAGCTTTTAAAACTCACCTTATCTCAAAATAAAAGGTTTACAGGGAGTAATTTCACAAAACAATCAAATAAAAAACAAAACAAAAATCTTTGTAAATACCATAGTGTCATTTTCCACAAACATGATATAAAACTACAAACCCAATAATAAGGTATTTTATTAACTGCCTTCTTTGGATGCTAGCTTTCTACGAATTATAAATGCCAACCACTCCATACCACAATTGAGTTAAGGTTATAAATTCTATATTTATGACCATAGTAATAAAATTAGTAAAATTTCAGTGAATTTCACTAACCTAGATTTGAACTATTTTGTGATGAACAAAACTTTGAAGTATCACTCTGTTGCCATTGAGCAGAGGTGAAGACATGAGCTCTGGTTTATACACTCAGGTGGGGCTATTCAGTGAGGGTATAAAAGTTGCACTGATGTTGAGCCTAAACTTTTTTTTTTTTAATAACCACAACAGCAATTACTTTTATCCTAATACATGCTTATTTCAGGTACATTCCTACAAATGTAATTTTGGCTTCTAGTTAATCTGCCCCTATTTACAGAGACTTCTAGGACCCACCTGGGAGCTCCAGGTCTCTTTAAGAATTAGGAATAAGCAGTTATCTTGGTAATAGGTCAGCAGGAACCTTTTCAAATACCCTGGGAGGCCCATATACAATGTCCTTCCTTGATATATTAGTTGCCTGCTTCCTGGAGATAGAGGTAGCAGCATTAGCAGTGGTGAGTCTAGGAAAAATCACAAGCTCCCATCTGTCAATCTAGTTTTTTTCTTCTCTGGCCCATCTTCCATCAGCAGATCAACCTTTACAACTCACTTCCTCAAGGCAATATTCTCCCAGCTGACTCTGCTCTCTAATCACTCCTTTATTCTTAGTCCCTTTAGTGTTTACAAATGTAATCTGCACTATGTTATCTTGTACATTTGAACATATTGCATTCAATATTCAAGGTTTTTTTGTTTTGTTTTGTTTTTGTACGTGCTTAGCATCTATAACAAGATTGTTAGAATTTTGAGGAATGTCTTCCTTTTTCTCTTGCATTCCTAAGTAACACCTGAGTAAAAGTAAACTCATACATACATACATACATACATACATGTACATATATATATATATATATGATAAGATGTGGATTTTGCTATATCTAAATATACCTAATTTGAGAACTAATCTAAAGATGGAATTTAACTTCTCTCCTTGAAACAGCTAGGTGACCCAGCATTTAGAGTGCTGGACTTGAAATCAGGAAGACATGAGTTCAAATTTTGCCTTGACCACTTATTAGCTGTGTGACCCTGGGTAAGTCACTTAACTCTGTTTGTCTCAGTTTCCTCATCTATGATGTTGGAATAGGAATAGCACCTCCCTTACAAAATTGTTCTGATGATTAAATGAGATAATATTTTTAAATAGCTTACTGAACCTTAAAACAACATGCGAATGCTAGTTGTTATCACCACCACCATCATCATTCTGTTATTGTTGTTGTTATAGGTCCTGCTCCTCTATTCCTAAGTTGTTATGTATTCAAGCTTCACAAAATTCCAGGTCATAGCTAGTCTACTTACAAGGTATGCATTGTAGCACCATCCTAGGTAGATGGCAATGCTGTCCAATAGACTAGAGAACATTATAAATGTCAATTCCAAAACCAGATCATTTAGACATCTTCTTTGACTTAACATACCTGCTTCATATGTGGTGGCGTGCGCAGTCATACTCCATGTACTTGATCTTTGACCTTTGGTTACCATGACTGAGAATTCATACATAGTGTTTGGTTTAAGGCCTGTTGCTGTGTGACTCAGAGATGTTATATCTGCTGACTACACACATGGGGGGGAAAGCAAGTAGAGAAACACTGTGAATTCTATCAACACTGTAAATCAAGACACGGGAAAAAAAAGACTATCAAATAATTCAGCAATAAAACATATAGACTTCCTGGCAGCAGAAGCATTTGCTAGCAGAGAATATTGGCTCTAATTTCTTTTGGGAAGTACAAAGATACAGTATTGTATTCTGGTAAATTATATATTATTTTATATTATATATGTATATAACATAATTATGTATTATCATTATATTATTTATTATATTCTGGCAAACTGTAAAGCAAACTACATCCAATAAAGCAACTCTTATACTAAAGGGTGATTTAGCATGATAACCTTTCCTAATATAAGAACCTGCCCTGTTCTTGAGAGAAGTGAACTACAATGACAGGCCACAGGTTACCTTATTCTAGGATCTTTTTTAGCTTAGAGAATGCCTGTGAAGAGCAGATAATCAGACTGGATTCAATTTTGCTGTAATAAATTCAAATTATATTCATCAAAGGTTTTTAATATTGGTCATTGAATATATAGAGTCATCATTAATTTATGTAAGATTGAGTTTCAGGACTATATTTTGGATTGTAGCTACTTATGGAAATGCGCTATTTCCTTATAGATTGATTGTTAGCTCCATATGGGTACAGGTTGTCATAGTTAATCTTTATGTCTCCCTGAGGATCCCCTGAGGATCTATCACATTCTTCTACACTCAGTAGGAATAGAATAAACATTGGTTGAAGGTAATGCTGGAAATATTCTTCTTTTTGTATTACTTAAAATATCTTTGAAGTAATTATCTTTAGGTGGACTAAACTTGCCAAAATAAAGTTTGTGCATATATGTGTGTGCGCACGTGTGTGTGTATACACATATGCACACATACACACATATATACATAAAAATGTGTATAAATACATAAACACACATATATACACATATATTTTTATATATATTTCTGTCAATATATCCTACAGTTAAAACATTTTTTTTTCTATTTCTTGGTGTGAATATTTATGGACCAATTAATGTTAAACCTCTGCTTATTAGTTTCCTGGAATCCTTCACACTCAGGACAAACACTACTTTCTGCCAGGGTTCCAGATCACCCCCTTCTATTAGTTCCTTCCCCTGTATCTACCTTGTATGTATGTATGTACTTAGTTATTTGCATGTTGTCTCCCCCATTAGTATGTAAACTTTTTAAAAGTAGGGACAGCTTTTGTCTTTCTTTGAACTGCCAGAACTTAGAACACTGGCATCTAGTAAATATTAAATAGTCGCTTGTTGACTGAAGGACTAAACATAAACACTTAAATATGGTCACTTGAACTGAATGGAAAAGGATGAACAAATGACATTTAAGATTAAGGGATTTTATTGGTTTGCTGAGTATTGCTACCATTATTTAAATGTAATGAATCCCTTGACATTTCTTGACTTTTGACAACAGGTTAAGGAAACGTTAGTGGAAGGTTAAATTTGTTTTCAGTCCTTACTGTTTTTGATATTCAAAAGAAATCACCCGTTTCCTCGGCTAATATGTATCATTCACAGGAAGAGGAGAGTTTGAAACTCTTTATAAACCTTATAAATATAGATTCATACTTGGTATTTAGTCCCTGGAACTTCTCACAGGCTTAAATATTTATTTTACTTTCATTTTTGACACGTGTTATTTTCCTGAGTTAAGACGATTAACAAAGTGGCATTCAACTTTTCCCCTAGTTTCCATGCAGCACCTCCCTGCTCATTGATTAAGAGCATGATATTTAGGAGGAAAATCTTATTTTTTCTGTGGATTATTACTCATATCCCTATGAGGGAAATGATATGGCCATATAGTATTTATAAGAACCACTTATGTGACCACAATAATAGACTGACTCAAATTATAGCTACCTGTGGGTACCTTATTTCCTTGAATTGACCATAATCTGTTTGCATGAAGCAATAGTTTCTCATACATCATGAACCAGGATATATCATAAAAACTTGACTTTAGTAAGTGCTTAACAAATAATTGTTGGATTAATCAATGATCTATTTGGCTTGCTATAGAACATTTTTATAGTGATAAGCAAAAGATGCATGCTTAGGCTGATGTGGATCTTTAGCTCTCAGGAGTTATTGTTTGTTTTTTTATTTCTTTATTTGTTGGTTTTGGTAAGCACAAGCTGAGTATTCAAAATAGAGCTTAAAGTAGGTGGAAGTCAGTGAAAATGATGTACTTTGAAACCAGCACAGCTGACACGTGTAACAATGGACATGTCATTTGTCTTCTTTAGGATTCTTTTTCCCTACCTGTAAAAGGTAATAACAAATGCCTGAGGTACTGCTAATGGTTATAGGAAGGATGGAAGGAGATAATCGTTATGCTTTGAAAAGGATTGAAATGGGATGTCTTATTACTGTTCAGTTTTAGAAAATTTTAAATTAATTATATTTCTTAAATGGATGTAAGTAAGATGCAATAAGATATGGTCTGTAAGCTACCTTCTACCACTCATCCAACTGTCTTTTTCTTATTTTATCTTTCCTTTCCCTCTCCTCTGGGTGAGGTGAGGGAATGTGCCAAGAGTAGTAAAGGCTGGTTTTTGGGGGATGGGACCAATCTTGTTCCATTTTCTACTCTTATGCTATGATCTATAAGAGGAGGGAAAAGGAGAGAAGGTTTCTTTATTCTCTATCAGTAATTTAAACAATAGCTGCAGGAAGGGAAATGCTGGATCTAGCAAATTCTGACTCACAAGAGCCATTTGTTAAATTTTCCATATGAAAACTTATACCTCAGAAATAGGCAAATGCTGCAAATCGGGGTTTGATTTATCATTTTGTTAATTGGCTAAACTTAAGAAAATGTTGGGAGAAAATATTAATAATGCAGTTTAAACTTAAAAGTGTACTGCACGTGCATTGTTTTTTGGGGAGAGCAGGTAGTTAAATATTTACAGCACACTGTTGGCTATAGGATACTACAGGTAAGTGTTTAGCTATGTCCCATGATTAGAGAGTTTTAAAATACCTAATTGGAAATAGACTTTAGAAGGCCTCTAGTCCAACCTCTATCCAAATCTTCAATAACATGCCTCACAAATGGTTATCCAGACTGCATTTGAAGACTTCTAGTGATGTGGAGCTCCTTACTTCCTTACATAGGCCATTTGAGTACTACTACCTATATTATTGAGGACTTTTTTTGAGGGAATTTTAATTATATTTTAACTATGCAAAAAGACAATCTCTGTGTTGCCAGAAAATTTGGGAGCTGGGATTAGTCTGATTCAAACCATCATTACTCTGCTGGATTTTCCTTGTTCTCTACTTGACAGGGTAGACATATCCATTCTGTGAAGTGAATTTTTATAGATGATGTACTATAGTTATATCTGAAAGCTTTCATTGAGTTGTCATCTTCTAGGTTTATTAATTCATTGCATTTCTCAAGGGGTACAAGTGACGGACATTGATGAGGTTGTATTTAAATATCAGGGAGGGAGAAAGGGCTTATTCTAAATAAATTTAAACTAAGTTAATGGCAGCATATGGACTGTATTTAATAAAAAATGTTCCAATATGTTCCTGTGGATACCTTGTTTGATAATGTCACCTTTGTTTTCAATGCCATTAGCTTTTTAGGTTAGTACTTTAAAGAGATAGGCTACTTGTTTCATATCTTTATATCAGTACTGCTACATGAACTTAACTGGTGAGTTTTTTTTTTTCAAATTCTGACCTAGCATGTTAACAGAACAAAAAGAAAATTGTTTTAAATGGTTTAGAGTAAAATTATCACAAAATATGGATTATCTACAATTTTAAAGTCAGGAAATAATACTAAGAAATTGAGAAAAATAAATGTATTATCATTTTCCCTCAATATCTAAGTTCATATGTAGGGAGAAATTTTCAAAGGATATTTTAATCTTGAAAATAGCCAGAATACAAATTTGAAGTTGTCTTTGTTCAATAGTAAGGAATCACAGCAGAAGGGAAAGGAAAATGAAGACATGGCTGAGCCAAGATGCTAATTTTTCTTAGTGGGTTGCTAAAGCTTATAAACTTATTAGCAAGGCTACATTAGCTCATTCAATCTCTTATTTTTTTTTCCTTAATGTTTGAAGCAAATATCATCTTAATATCCAGAGAAGAAATTAGGCAATAATCACTAACCTGTGCTTTCTTTCTAAATAATATATCCAGTATCATACAGTTTGAGGTTCTCATTTACTATTTGTTGATAGATTGATTTTTCCCTTGTCTGTAGGTGGTATGTATCATTTCCCCAGTTTACGCTAATTGAAAATGTTTAAAGGGTGCTGAATTTTCTTTGTGTGTGACCTTTAGGCTAGGGTTGCTTTGAGTGGAGGTTGAGTATTTGGTAATCCTAGCCATACTTGTATCAAGTATTCCTAGAAGGAAGTGATAAGAAAGGCTTTGGAAATCCACCAAATTTATTATAAAAAGTAATATCAGTATTACTATATTGGGTCCTGTCTCTCTACCTCAAAGGGGGTACTGTAAGTCTAAATGAATGGTGCTATAAAAATAAAGGCATAAACATTTTCAGGTAAAAAGTCACATGTTTGAACACATTTCCTCCAAATGCAGTCTGATATTCTTAACGGGACTACCTTTAGTGTTATCAATGCTTTTCTTTAAAACAAACAAACAAACAAACAACAAAAACAGATATCCAAACCAGGCTGGAAAGTTGAGAAGGAGAATTGTCAGTAGCATTACCATCTCAACTTCTACCTTTGGGTTGTAGAATTCAAGTAAACTGCAGATACTTCAGAAAGTATAAACATGACTTCTCTTTGATAATCCAACAACCATTAAAAACAATACAACAATTAATGAAAGAAAAATATTTGGTTGATAATACATAACATTAGTTAGAACTTCACCTTGTATTTTGCACTTGCAGAAAAGCTGGTCCTCCATCGGACAGTGTAAAATCGAACTTCAGTTGTTTTCTGATTCTTAGGGACAGAGTTGTCTGCCCAGCTGACCCTCACAGCATCGTGGGTAAGCGCAACAGCCTGAACACCTACTGGTGGGAGCATGGGGGTGGAGATATCTGGGACTGAGGTAGGGAAATCGTCAGGTAAAGGATAAAAATCAGCTTCCAATGGGTCAATGGGATCTGGGTTAAAAACCCACCAAATGAAACAAACAAATAAATAAATAAAATAGTTTAAAAATAAATATTGGTGATAACACATCACAATGAGTTAAATGCATGGCAATAATGATGAAGAAAAACATGAGAAGAACAGAAAACATGTCATTAATTTCATCAGAAAATACATTAGAAGTAATATTGCTACTTCATAATAAAATAATTTCCCAAACTCCAATCAATTCTTCTTACATTTTGCATTCATATCTACAAATTATATTCCAAAGCAAATATCTTCATATGTGTACATTGGTATTTAAAAGAATTAATAGGAAACTGATTTCTGTATATACTTACAACTTAAAATTAAAAGGACAAAAGAGAATTTGAAATCTGTGATCAATTTCCTCATATGGAGGAAAGTTTTCATCTTAGTAGTTTACTTCCCTTCTCTTACTTTCTCCCATTCCAGCTCTCTCTCCTATTGTAATCCTATTATGCTCATCCTACATCAGCATTCATATTTGGAAGTCATGAAGCAAGAAGAGTAAAGAATGGGGTGTTCTGAATTTCACAATGACAAGTCCATGACTGGTGACTCCACACTTTGCTAGAGTGATAGTGATTCACATTCCTGGCTGGTTTGTGGTTTGGTTTGTTCCAGATGAATTATTTTCCACTGAGGGTGTCAACATAATTTGTCTGTCAACAATGTTATCTTTTGGTGGTGACCGTAGTAGCTCATCTTAGCCAATGACCCACATAGATAGTGTGGATGACTCAACTTCAGTTTTTCCCCAAATTGTTGCAAATCAACAATCTAAGGCATTTAAGAAAATTCAAGAGTCTGTTGTTCTTATCATCTAGTTTAAAGCATTCTGTATCTCTCTGCCTATCTTAGACACACAGCTAACATCTATACCTTACAGACAACTGGCATTTGGAAAATGTATCATTTTGCTCATGGATAGGATAATTGAATTTCTCTAATGATGGAACGTCACAAAAATTATTCTGAAATTCTTTCATTACATTTTAGTCTCAGCAAATTAGATTTATAACTGCTCATTTGTGACGAGAGTAATAATTACATTTCTATGTACATCATGTGGGGAATAGAAAGGGGGAAAAGGACTTTAAATAGCATCCTAATTCTTATTATTTATAAATGAGATATGACATTATAGGTCTTAGCCATGGGCAGATTATTTGAAGAGACCAGTTGGAATTTAGTACATGGGTCGATAAATCCCCACAACATCTATTTTTTTAAGAATATGACTTAAAGTAAAACCTTGCTGACTTCTGATGATTGCTTCAGTTTGTCCAGACTATTTCATATGTCTACCCCTACTTCATCACACTGTTTTCCAGTGAATTATTTAGTAGTTGACTGAGCTCCAGTCTTTGGAAAAGGAAAAAAAAAATAGAAAAAGAAAAGAAAGAGAAAGAGAAAGAAAAATGTGTGTTTAAAATTTAATGACAGAGCCCAAGCTCTTCAAATTTCCTTTGATGCCTCTTTCATTAAGGTCTCCTTTAAACCCAAATGGATTTATGAAGTGATTGGGAGAAATTGAAGACAGTATAATTTCAGTAAGGTCTTGGACATCAGGTGGATATCTATCAAGTTAGTGTAGTATATTAAAGTTTTGGGGGGGGTTTTTGTCTCTTTTTTTGGTATGTGTTCTAAACCATAGCAGATACTATCCCATTCTGTTTTTTAATTCTCAGCCCAGTTTTTTGAGGTGAGTTTTCCAAAGACAGCACAAGTAAAGCAAAACAAGAGCTTTTAGCTTGGGATCAGGGTTTATTTCTTTTCCCCTTTCTTAGGTTGACAAATAACTCACTTTTTCAAATTTAGTTGTGCTAGCAAATGTACCTATCTAGAAAATATTGAAGAGTTTAGGAGCTACAAAAATAAAAGATTAGATATCCTTTAGTAGCAAAATTTTAAATCCTAAAACCAAATACTTCTGGGCTTCAGAATTATCTATTTGCAATGATTTGATGATTTAGTTTCTGAAAAATAAGTATTTGAGTGATTCCCTTATGTTTAAAAATATCCACCTTTGTTGATGTTTCTGTGTGACCAGCTGTGACTTTAGAATATCTGGCCTCACTAGTACTTATTTTCCTTAGACATGAACTTGTCATTCATTTGACACTTCCTCTAGAGAGACACTTGCATATAGATCGTGCTAATTTGTTTTTCTACTCGGGCCTGCCAAGTCAGAGACTACCCAGGAAGCACAATTTAAGGGCTTTCTATGGATGTTGAACAGTTTTCCAAAAACAGTTTTCCTGTACGTGCTCCATGCTGCTGATTTTCTGGTGGCCCCAGCCAGGAGAGAGATAATGTCAGGGAGATAAATTATCGAGCACTGAGGCAGGAACCTTCTGGCTAAAAATTGAAGCAATCCCAATGCTGGACTGGTATGTCAATAGGCTCCCATGAATGTAACAGCTCTCTAAGGTACAAACCAGGTCGGAAGAAAATAATAGTAATTACCCTCATTTCAAAAAAACAGCAACAACAAACAAAACCTCTCCCACATCCTGACTTTATTTCATTGGAGACTTGGAGGAAAACATAAAATAAAAAAAATCTATTGATTCAGTAGAGATTTTAAAAGATATGGATCTATTGCAATTGCTCAGTAGGTGGTTATAACGCCCCTCTAACCTGTACCTTCTCTATTCACCAGGGCAAGCGAACATTTAGAAAAGCAGACTTGTGCTTAACTCTAAATGTATTTCTTTGCCTGTGTGTATATGTATGTGTACCTGTATGTGTTTTGTTTTGTTTTTGTTTTTGCCTTTATGTTAGTCATATTCCAAGATTCGTCATAGGAATACTTCTGAAAAGCACAAGGCCGAGTACATTTTTTTCTTATGCAGCTACTGGGCATTCATTTGATAAAGTTACTCCCCAAAATTCACCCCATCTGTCTATTTGTTCTTTTGTTCTCAGTGACCCATAACTCCTTCTGCTAGTAAGTTCCTGACATTGAGCATGATTTTTTTAAAAATCAAATAATGCTGTCATTCTCCAGGGTAAAATACTGAAAGAATATTATTTTTCTGTCCATCTTCCTTACAACCCCATTCTCTTTATTTTTCTTTCCCTGGCTTTTCACATCCATCCCATTCCAAACTCTGAAATCTCTTTGCCTCACAAGTCAATTAAGATTGGAAATACAAAAGGAAAAATACATTTGATGAGCCATAGGCATCTTAAGAACCATTTGTGGAGAATGGGATATGCTTATCAATGAAGCAATGAGAATGCCTGGGACAGATAAGGAGAGCATAGCATGTTAAAAAAAAGGGTTGAATAGCTCATACTAAACTACTTTCACCTTAGCTGGAGCTCTGCATTATCATCAACTAATAACTCCTGTCATTGATATCTGAACTTTCTTTATCATATTAATTTTTATTGCTTAACATTCCTAACTTGCTAGTAGTTACAGATAGTAAGTCCTATGCTTGGACCATAACAGATGTTGGTAAGTTAATCTGATGCGCAGAACTACGGAGAAAAATTAGAAGCCTGTCACAAGTCAAACATGTCAATATTAGTATGTATTCTCGGAATTTTATTTCTATAGCCCTTTACTCAGAAAGAAAATATTTGACAAAGAAAAATGTATAGACCTGCCCCTCAATAATCTCTGCTAATGAAGGAGAAAGAAAACTGGAGAAATAAAAATCCTGGGTAGTCAAAAATATCATTTTAGATGCTAGTTTCAAACTTGGGCTCCAACCAACTCATTAACCTCAGTTATTAAAAACTAACTTTATAGTTATCATTTTATTTGGAGATGAATGTTATTTGAGGTGTTTCTATATACACAAACCATTTATCCAAAAATATCTGGTTCAACACAGTCTCACAACTGGGTAATTCAAAACCACCAATTTAACTGGATTCAATCACCAAATAATTTTCAAAATTATTTGTCACATCTATATTTTAAATAATAATTAGGGCTTGCCTTCAACTCATCTGAAAGACAAGTAAAAGACTTCAGGGTACTTGAAATAGACCTATTTCTGTGTATTTTTCCTCTCTCCTCTTTCCTAATTCTTTCCCCTTTAGATGTTCAAGATTCTAGAGATCCTCCTAGTATAGAAACTGCTTTAAGATCTTTGATTAACTTTAGGGTCAATGACTGATGGCAAAGATAAGGGTTACCTATCCTAATGGGATTTGCATTTCAATAGGAATAAAAAATCTTAATTAAGCTAAAGAGATAATTGAGAGCATAGCATTTCAAAGAATCAGAAATTTTGGTGCTCAGCTAAGGGACTTCATTCAGGATCCTGAAATCACACTGTATAGATAGCTACTACTCCAAGTAGAGTAAGACTTAGATGAAGTATTGTTAACTAGTAGGTCCTACTGGTGTGATTAAAAATTACATCCTTTTCCTTCCCTTTCCCCTTCTCAAGACTTTGCCCTTCTTCCATTTTACCTATAGGCATAGAATAGCAAGTAGCATTTATAAAGGCTAGAGTTCAGTCCTGATCGGGATGGAGAAGATAGATTGTGAAGTTCTTGTAAAGAGTCAATTCATCCATGGGACTTTCTGGCTCAAATGACTCTGAGGCAACCCAGTACTCAATCATATGACCATTTGAATGATTTCCCTGGCAGATTCCAGGACCCAACTTTCAAGGGTGAGTGAAGGGATCTTGGGTACTAGGATACTGCTAGACTGAGAGGTGAGTGAGTCAAAATATAATTCTATAAACCAGCAGCCAGATGGTGAAGACCTAGGTAACAGTTCCTAAGTATTTAAGAGTAGTCTACATGGAATAATGCTTCTTCCCAGTTAAGCTAACTTTTTTCAATCTAAATTTTTTAAAAAGTAAAATAGTTCTACTAATCACTTTCAACTAAAATGAAATAAGGTATACAACAGGGAATTTTAAATTAGATGAATATAAAGTAAAATCAAAAAGATTAGGGAATCAGGCTGCATATTTATATGTACCAAATTACAGGACCTGATGACTCACTACAATTCACATAATTACTGAACAGCAACAAGGAGATCAATGTATTTAACTTACCTGTCATAGATCTGGTGGTGGCACTTTCATAGAGAGGAACTCCCTCTCCCGCATTGTTAAAGGCTTTTAGGGAGATTACATAATGGGAACTTGGCTCTGCAGATGAAATAACAGCAAAACAACATAGGCATTATGTTAGTCAGGTTGCAAAATACCCAGGGTGAACATTTTCCCCAAACAAATATAGTATAAGGTAGTCAATAAATGATGTTTTCAAGGAATGAGTGAATTTTTTGTCAAAGCTGTCAGGCCTTCTTTGTTCATATACAATACTTCGTTGGGGTTGTTAGCTCTTTATTCTTTTACTATATGAGGCAGATGAAGGGTATTGGAAGGAGAACTAGAATGGGATTTAGAAGACCTGGGTTCATGTATGGTCTAGCCAATTACATTTAGCAAATCATACTCCTAGGTGTGTGTGTGTGTATCTATATACACATAGGTGTGTGTAGTTAGGTCAGGGAATAACTTGTTATGACTGCAGTTTTCTAAATTCAGTCCAATCTGTTCTCTGTTCATTCATTTTTGGGTTTTTCTCATTGAACATTCTTCTGTGCCTACCCAAGATGGATGGACTCATATAGTCAATCCAATGGGCCATAATCAGGACAACAGACATTTTTTTTTGTTACTGTTTAGTTTTTCCTATATGAGTTGTTTAACTGGTCTCTTTTGAATAGTTTTGGACCCCATTGATGAGATTGTTGGCTTGTTGCAATCAGCAAAATGTCATCCTCCAAAGGAACATCTGGAAGATTTTGCTGGCTATTGAGAATCCTTCTATTTTGACTCCAATATAACAACCTCCATACTAGTGATGGGCACATTTAGTGAATATCCATCTGTGTTATGCCTAGCTGGATATTTCTCACCAAGAGATCATTTCAAGTTACTTCTGTGATTATATAAAAAGGACTTTTGTCAAAACATGCATGTGAGATACCTTATTGGTGAAGAAACTACAAGGTGGCATTTTGTATTACTAAGTCAAAAACAGTTTAAAAAAATAACCAGTAAATGATAAACACCAGAAGATCTTATGTTCTCCTCACTTTTTAGTCAATTGGTAACTATGACAATGTGGCCTCTTACTAAAGATAATCTGTGAAAGTCTTCCTGTTTCTTATAACATATATTTCATATGTAACTAAGCACATCACAGAGACATTAAAAGTGCACCAAAATAAACAGTTTATATATAATAAAAAGTAGGTATATGAGTTGATAATTAGTGATTCCTTTTCAATCCTCTTGGTCACCTTATTTTCATGGTAATAAAGGTCCAAGATTTTTTCCAATTATACAGTACCCTGATCTGTTTCAAATATTTTGACATTTGATTCCATCACAGTTGGCATTAGTTTATTTTTTTTGTGTGTCTAATAAAGTGTGACTGCCTTTCATATCTGTCTTTCACTTAATGGAAATTCTACTTGTGGTAGTATCCAAATATGATGGTTCTGTTGTGATCAATATTATAAACACTTTACTATAGAAATGCCTAATCTGTTTCATTTTTAAACTGTTGTCCTATTTTCATCTATGAATATTCTTGGATTAATCTGGTTTAGTGGAGTCTCATGCTAAATTTTCTATAGACTCATTATTCCTCCTGTTCTTTTCTTATAAGGTTGTTTGGAATCTTTTATCATCCTACATCTTAACATTTTGCAAATGAGTTTGTGTCTCAGGTAAGTGTTTCCTTTGGAAAAGAGATCAAAAAATTGTTCTCTAGGATGGTTCCTGGACTCTTTCATTTGCTTCATCATGGAAACCACTTTGCATTAGTTAAAATGCTACAGGAATTAGTGATAGTCTCTGGTATCTTTTCCTTCATTCATTTCCCATTTTTCATTAACAATAGCTTGGTTGAATATGTCATGTTGGAGCTTTGTCATTTCATGAAGTTTTCTTCTCATCTTTTCTTCTCATTTCCAAGCTTGTGTTAATTTTGATTTTGCTTTAACTTGTTAACAAGTAGTTCTGACATGATTGCCATATGGATTATAATTTTCTATCTATTAAGTGGAAGTAAATTTCATTATGGTTGGTGCTCACCATGTTTTAAAGACAGTATTCTTGATCAAATATGTGAGGATTATGAGCATTCCACATTTTATTGGGCTTTATTTTTTTTAGCCATATATTTCAATAATTTTTGCCCTGTCCAACCTGTTGTCCATTTTCATGTTGAAGTCATAGAATGCATCAGGGTATACATTACCTTGCATTGGATGTTTTTAGGTTCTTCATTGAATTTCTTAACATTTTAATCTCCTGAAACAGATACTGATGCATAAACTGCAATAATCATGCTAGCAGCCCTTTTACTTATGTTCCACATGAGTACTTCAAGGTAAGATGACAAAATATTCCATGAAAGATATTTCTTTGCCTTTGGGATCATGATGAAACCAACTCAGCTAATTCCTTTATTTGCCTCTTCAAGAACTTGTGAATTTCTTTCCATTTAGCTGCAACTTTAACTTGTGGCTTCATTTGTGGCAAAAATGAAACCTATGATTTAGTTTTTCCAATGGCTTAGTTCACCTCATTGTTCACTGGACAAGTGTTTCACATTTTAAGTACCATCAGTTACATTGATGTTTTTAGATGATCTGAGAACTATGTGTGTCTCAAAAACTTCTATTGGTCTTTTGTGGCATTTTGCCACTGTCACAATTTATTATAATTATCTAACAACAAGAAATAGCATTTATGTAATACCTTAAAGTTTGCAAAGGGATTGATTTACAAATATCCCATTTTATCCTCATGACAACTCTGGCAGATAGATGCTACTGTTATTCCTATTTTACAAATAAAGAAACTGAGGCTAGGAGAGGAAAAGTGATTTGTCTAGGGTTATACAACTAGTATTTGAAGCAGGATTTGAAATCAGGTCTTCCTGACTCTAGGCCTAGGGTTCCATCCATGGTGCCACCCCACTGCCATTAGTGATTAACCAATTGACTTTCCATAATTAACTAGCATTCTATATGCTTTCCTCACATTAAGCCTGTGAAATACCCATTATTAACCATATTTTAGATAAGAGGTAACTGAGATGAAGTGATTTGGTCTTTAATGCACCCCAGAATTTTATAGTATCAGAGATTTGGAGCTAGAAGGGATTTCCATAATTACTCAGCTCAAGCCCCTCCATTTACAAAGGGGAAGGCTGAGGTTAAGAGACACTTATAAGTTAAGTTATAAGTTATTAAGTTAAGTGCCTCTTATAAAAGGCCATAAGAAGAATAAGAAGCACATTTGGGATTGGAGCCCACAGACTTTGGTTCCAAATTCAAGTTTCTTTCCATGACACCAGAGTGTTAGGTTTTTTGATCTACACATTTAGCCTTTCTTCTTTCTGATTTAAAGGCACCACTGGAATGCTAACAGGTGATGTTCTATAGGCTGTCAAGTGGGTCAATGCAATGGCCAACCCCTCAATTTACAACATCCTGGGAAAAAAACATTACTGAAACAGCTCTCCAAGCATGCATTATTGGCTTTTCAGCCTTGTAGAGTTTGTGTTATTTACTTGTTTTTAAAAGCCTTAACTGGTTCATTCTTATTTCACAGAGTTTGAGTTTCTGTCTCAGGCCAAATTAACACAAGTTATGCAACTCCTTCTTAGCTGTTATCTAGCTCCAAGGAGCATACATCATTTTCCTAATCTCCCCAGACAGCCTATATACAGGTAATTGTCATTTCAACCCTTTGAATCTTGCTAATATTGAACACCTATCAAATCCTGAATTATCTGACTAATGCTGGTTTCTTTAACTTCAAGCTTGGTGCTGGTGTATATTACCCTATCACACAGCCAGAGGATTTGTAATTTACTATTTAGTTAATGAATTACACTAATCATCAAGAACCACAAATTCAGCGCCATTGGTTAATTGTGGTTGTCCTAGAAATGTGAGACTGGGAGCAAACACTAAGCTATGGAATGGTTCTATTTCAATACTGTGACAGAAGTATATTAGAATTATAGACCCAAGCCCACACAATCCCTCTCACCTCTCTTAACACACATGAAGATTTGTTATTTGTTCCTATTTCTTGATCCCACAAACAGCAGTTAGGTGGTGTAGAGGATAGAATTCCAGGCCTAGAGTCAGGAAGACTCATCTTTCTGAGTTAAAATCTGGCCTCAGACACTTACTAGCTGTGTGACCCTGGGCAAGTTACTTAACCTTCTTTGCATGTCCTCATCTGTAAAATGAACTGGAGAAGGAAATGGCAAACCACTCCAGTATCTTTGCCAAGAAAACCCCAAATGGGGTCATAAAGAGTGGGACATAATTGAAATGACTGAACAACAATAGTACAATTTTCTCCATCCCAGATCATTTCCCTCTTTGTGACTTACCCTTGTTTCTATTGCCTGCTGTTGAGATGAATGTGGATTGCTAAAGGAGCAAATGGGACACTTTGCCTTTACATTTTGAACATCTCCTGTGTTCTATTCTTAAGTTTCTCGAAGCTAAAAATAGCTTGGCTATCAATATATGTGCTTGGCAGGAGGCTACAGTAGTTTTATACCTTTAGACTTGAGATTAGGACACCCAAAGACTAATAATGGTTGATTTGCTCAATAGAATTATGGGGAAAAGGGACAAAGCAATGATTCATTGACTCAAATGATATCATTCTAAAACTGTTCAATGAGTCTTCTCTATTACCTACCAAAAAGCCTCTATTAGTTACTCTGGTATTCAAGATTGTCCAGAATATTAAGCCAAGCAACCTTACAATCTAATTTCATAATTCCAAACTCATGCACTATGCCACAGACTGTATTTCTTGCTAATTCTTATATACTCCTTGCAATTTTCCCATTTATATACTTGCTCACCTTGCTCTCTATTCTTGGAAAGCTCTGCCTCTTCCTCCTCTTGTAACATTCTTACTTTTTTTAAACCAAATAAGAATAATAATTTCTCCAGAAGACCTACTCAAATGCCCCCATCCCAAAGTCAATAATTACTTTTTACTTTTGAACCTCCCATAGTGCTTTATAAGTATCTCTTTTAGCAGGTGCCATATATTATTTTGTATTCAATTTATCTCTAACGAGGTCATTT